AGAGATGAAACGTCTGAACCAAAACAGAAATGTTTAAATTTCCAGCTTCCTTTTGGTTGCTGGTGTTTATTGATGTTAGTCATATTAACATCAGTCCTCAGCAGAAACAGTTTTTCTCGCTCCAGAACTCGGGAGGACACAGTGCGGCAGATTGTCGCCGGGTTGACGGGCGACGCCGAGGCCTGCTCCGACCTGGCCTCCGAGCTCTCCAGAGGTGACCCCGTGACCCTGGAGATGCAGGACAGCGACGACGAGGGCAACGACCCCGAGGACTGGGCTCCGGATCCCACGGACGCCGTTCCCGGTCAGTGAACTCTGGTGTTGTAGTCAAAACCATCTAACCCGACACGAGACCAGGGAACGCCAGGGAACCGGCCGGGTTTCACCGAGTTCTGCTTCCTCTTTCTCAGATAAACTGGGCTCCAAGCGGCGCTCCTCTGACATCATCAGCCTGCTGGTCAGCATCTACGGCAGCAAGGAAATCTTCATCGACGAGTACAGAACCGTTCTGGCCGACCGACTGCTGCACCAGCTCAACTACAACACGGCCAGGTGGGCCCGGCAGAACCCAAACAGAACCGACACAGAACCCAAACAGAACCGAGACAGAACCCAAACAGAACCGACACAGAACCCAAACAGAACCGAGACAGAACCGACACAGAACCCAAACAGAACCGAGACAGAACCGACACAGAACCCAAACAGAACCGACACAGAACCCAAACAGAACCGAGACAGAACCGACACAGAACCCAAACAGAACCGAGACAGAACCCAAACAGAACCGAGACAGAACCCAAACAGAACCGACACAGAACCCAAACAGAACCGAGACAGAACCCAAACAGAACCGAGACAGAACCCAAACAGAACCGACACAGAACCCAAACAGAACCGAGACAGAACCGACACAGAACCCAAACAGAACCGAGACAGAACCGACACAGATTTTAACAAGAACAAACCTGGCACAGATGCTGCCAGGGGTTTGGGAGGAAAAGAACGCTTCAGGATAGAAGGAATTATATTTACTGAAATTATTATTATTATTTTTTAAGATGCCCAACATGAGTGAAATGAAAAATTAATTTTTGCACTAAAATAACCCCCATATTTTCAACCATATAAATATAGAAACATTTATCTTCATCTTGCTTTTTCTTTTTCTGGTGGACATGTTTCAAAATGGCCGCCACTTTTATGATGAACAATCGATGTTTGCATTAAAATTATTATAAATATTAGAGACACAGCTAAACAAAATGTTAGCTTCAATAATTCACTAAACAAGAGTCTTAGCTGCTAAACAATTGTGGAAAAAAAACAATTAGCTAATGCTAACTGCTATACAAAATATAGAGAAAGCTATAAAAATAAATTTGCCCTCTAAACACAAATAAATTAGCTGAAGCTAATTCTAAACTGCTCCACATATAAAGAATTAGCAAAAGCTAACGATAAAACGCAAAACAGCTTAAAAAACTAACGTCAACTAACAGAAGCACAAAATACAGCACTAAACCGGTAAACAAAACAAAAAAAACAAAGCTAATGCTAAACTGCTAAACGTTTTCCAGAAATATATCAGAAGCTAACAATGAAATGCTACAGTTTAAACAATTAGATTAAACTCACCTTACGCTGCTGAACACTGAAAGTAACTGGATGCTAACGCCAAGCCGCTAAACACACAGAAAATTAGCAGAAGCTATCGCTAACCACTGAGACGACGACATCCCCGCCTCCTTCCAGCTATCGACTCGCAAACAGCAAAAACGTTTCTAATCTTGCTGCATCTTGTTACTTTAAAGTTAAATATGATGAACAAGATAAAAATTATACATAAAGTTCATCCAAGTCATAAAAATTGGAAACATTTTCAGGCAATAGCAGATTTAAAAGGCTTCAAAATGGCAGCCATTTTAAAAATGGCTGATGGGGAACAGCCTGGATTTCAGTGCTGGATCCAGGGCTGTGTTTCCTCTCTGACCTTTGACCTGTCGTTCCTCTTCAGGGAGATTCGTAACGTGGAGCTGCTGAAGCTGCGCTTCGGAGAGTCTCACATGCATTACTGCGAAGTCATGCTGAAGGTCGGACCCTCGTTTAGCCACCGACGCTCCCTGAACGCCTCGCCGTGGTTTAACGTGTCTTTGCTGTGCAGGACATGGCCGACTCTCGCAGGATCAACAGCCACATCTGCGAGGAAGAGTCGAAGCTGAGTGAGGAAGAGCAGCCGCCGCTGGCGCTGTCCGCCATCGTCCTGTCGTCGGAGTTCTGGCCCACGCTGAAGGAGGAGAAGCTGGAGCTGCCGGCCGCCGTGTGCCACGCCATGGAGGCGTACACACGGCGCTACGAGAAGCTGAAGGTGAAACGTCCGGCGGTTTGACCCGACCGTCGGCTTCCTGACGCTTAGCTTCCTGACGCTGTGGTTGTTCCAGGCCATGCGGACGCTGAGTTGGAAGCCTCACCTGGGCTCCGTCACGCTGGACCTGGAGCTGGAGGACCGGACCCTCACCAACCTCACAGTGTCGCCGATCCACGCCGCCATCATCCTGCACTTCCAGGAGAAAAGTACGAGCTCTGGGTTTACACGCTGCTTTGGCTTCATAAAGTGAAAGTTTCAGGTTCATTTTCCATCACATGAATTAGATCAAAGAAGATTTATGTAAAGGCCTAGTCAAAGTTTAGGCCTGAATCAGATAATCTGTGACAAGACAGAAAACTAATGGCAGCTCAGATTGAATGGAGAACATGTGAAGTTTCAGCAGATTGTAGTTCTGAGGGGGGCTGGATAAAGGTGCAGGCCACACTTTTCAGATCAGATGAAGCCTGAAACATGATCAGATATGGAAGGGGTGTGAATACTTTTGTTAGTTGTGAAAATAACAGTTGTTTTTTTTTCTGCATTTTAAATTCTGATGCTGATCCAAACCGATCAGGTGATTCCATCGTGTCTCCTCTTCCTCCTCGTCTTCCTCCTGCCTGTTTTTTAACCTGGCAGGCTCGTGGACCCTGGAGGAGCTGAGCGTGAAGCTGGGCGCCCCCAAGGAGCTGCTGCACAGGAAGCTGGCGCTGTGGCAGCAGCAGGGCGTCCTGCGTGAGGAGGCGGCCGGCCGCTACGCCGTCCTGGAGACGGGAGCCACGCGCGACAGGCTGGACCGCGGCGTGATGCTCATCGACAGCGACGAGGAGCGCGACTCCAACACCACCACCCAGTCTGAGCAGAGGGAGGAGAAGCTGCAGGTCTGCAGTCACTTCCTGCTTCCTCCCAAAGGCCCAGGGAGTTTTAAAAGTCAAAGAATTAGCACAGAAATAGATAAATGATAATTAACCTGCTGTCAATGCCAAGAATGTAAACATCAGTTCAACCTAAAGAGGGCAGCACTGAGACACATCTGGGCCAAATAACAGAGCTGCAGCATGTTAGCCACATCGTGTTAAAATGTTTTTCCCTCATCAGAAACAAACCTGGAGTTTTACTTTAGGAGAAATCTTTAATCTCCATGACAACCATTCAAAACGCCTGGGTGGACATAGCCCCGCCTACAAGGTGGAGCTCCTCCCCCACTCAGCTCCTGCAGACTAGCCAGCAGCAATTAGCGAAGAGCCAGTGGAACTGAGCTGCTGCTGGTAAAAACATTACAACAGAGTCATGTGGGAATAAATTCATAATATAAAATCCAAATGACGTCGTTGCAAAGTAGTGAAATTATCAGATTACTCGTTATTATGAGAATAAAATAAAGATGTTAAGAGAATAAAGTCATAAGCAGCATCAGTTCTGTGTAACTGAACGACCTTTGACCCTGTTTGTTCCCACAGCTGTTCTGGGCCTACATCCAGGCCATGCTGACCAACCTGGACAGCATGACGCTGGAGCGCATACACACCATGCTGCGCATGTTCGTCGCCACGGGACCCGTCGTCACGGAGATGGACGTCAACGAGCTGGAGGCCTTTCTGCAGAGGAAAGTCAGAGAGCATCAGCTGATCGTTTCCACCGGCATCTACAGACTGCCCAAGACCAGCTGAGGACGGGGCGTTCAGGGGAAACGGGAACTCACAGGACTGAGGACGGGGCGTTCAGGGGAAACGGGAACTCACAGGACTGAGGACGGGGCGTTCAGGGGAAACGGGAACTCACAGGACTGAGGAGGACGGGGCGTTCAGGGGAAACGGGAACTCACAGGACTGAGGACGGGGCGTTCAGGGGAAACGGGAACTCACAGGACTGAGGACGGGGCGTTCAGGGGAAACGGGAACTCACAGGACTGAGGAGGACGGGGCGTTCAGGGGAATCGGGAACTCACAGGACTGAGGAGGACGGGGCGTTCAGGGGAAACGGGAACTCACAGGACTGAGGACGGGGCGTTCAGGGGAAACGGGAACTCACAGGACTGAAGAAGCACCTGTCTCCTGACGGCTACAAATAAAAACCACTGAAAAGTTTTTATAGTGTTTTGCTTCAGAAAATTAAAATACTTGTCTTTTTTTTTTCATGTGCATTTCTAAGTTTTCATTGAAATTTCAAAATGCTAAGAAGATCTTTGACACTGAGAACAGGCAGAATAATCAATATTAATAGAACATCTGATATAAAAAAGCTCATTTAAAGTTACAGCTCCAGATATTTCTAAATATTTACTTTCTAGGTAAATGCAATTTAATTTGCATGAATTGAATCAATAAATGTTATTTAAAAATAAAAAGTCTTGAATTGGACTTATGATTGTTCAGAACATAAACAAGATCTCACATTTAGGTAATAATTTATAAAATCTGAAATATCTTTTACATATTTATTAAGTTAAAGCTTCCATGGACCAATCAGAAATCTGTCATTTGCTCCTAATTGGAGATAATATATTAGTCATAACCCAACATCAAGTACCTTGAATGTGACTGGTGCATTTTGTGTTAAACATGTTTTCGGACTTTGCGGCCATTTAGTTCTGCCGTTTCCTCTGAACAGAAGCTTCAATCCGTCTGAAACACCAGAAACTTTAAAGGTTTATTTTCTATTCAAAGCATCACAAACAGCAGCAGACGGATACATTTCTACACATTGCAGGCAGAACAGTTTACATTTTGATAGACAAAGGATTTTTCTCAGTCACCGTCAGCAGAACATCTGGACTTATTGCTTTATTTGAACATTTTCATGGCAGCAGACATTAAAAGCTCACAGGAGGTTAAGTCATTCAGACTGACATAAGGCAGATTACCGAACTCATCACTTTAGTAACAAAGCGTTTCCTTTTGAAGGATTTCAACAGAAAAACGTAACAGGTGGAGGAGAAGTTAAAGGAACAGGCCGGTGTTTTCAGCTGCGATCAGACCAAACGTCTGGAAAACGCAGCAGAAGCTCTGGAAGGTTTTCCAGACGTCAGCAAGACATTACGGTTCTGTTCAGGAGGAATTATTAACCACAACGAATTTAATATTTAGGTTTTTAATGATTAAATTACAGTTTTAAGGGGGAAAATAAATGTGATTAAAATGTTGGATATCTTTACAGCTTCAGGTGGGAAAAGTGAAAGCTGATCATCATGTCCAGTTTTATCTGTAAAATCACAAACTTTCATCTTATTGTGTTAATTTATAAAATATGTATGAATGGATCAGATTTGCCTGAAACATCTGAGTGCATGTGAAGGAATATGGAGTTTTTCGAAACATGGAACAGCGGCCTGCTGCTTCAGCTCCTGGTCAGTGCTGCAGATTTTCCCTCAAGTTGAACCGTGATCCGCAGCAGCCGCCGCAGCAGCCGCCGCCGCCGCAGCAGCAGCACCCTGCACCTCAGCAGCACTTCTTGGCTCGCTTGCGGTGGCCGCGGTCTTTCTGGGTGCTGATGTTGACCGTGTCCTTCTCCCGGAAGCGCTCCCTCTCAGCACGTTCCCGACTTTCCTTCTTGGCGTGGAGCACCATGCGAGTAAACGCCATGAACATCTGGAAACACACGAGGAAAACAGCATGAAGAACAGAACTGGTTAAATCTGGATGATCTGCTCCTCAGTCTGGTTATAAAGCCAGAAACATCTGGACTGTTTCTCATAAATAAAACATTTTAACTGGGAAACATCAGATGTGACCTAATTACTAAATTATTTTTGTTAATAGATTTTAAAACAAACACTTTTAGTTTTCTGCTGAAAATTTGTTTTATTTTTTATTCTGTTTAATGAAAAGTCATAATTAATTTTGATAAACCAAAGACAGAAAGTATAAGTAACATTTAGGTTTGTTTTTTTTCTTTGTTCCCTTCAAATAATAAAACTTCCTCAGGTTAGTAAGTTAGTTTTTATATTCATAGCACTTATATAATCAGGGTGCGAGCAATCCAAAAACATGCTTTTTATGAATTTAGTTTTGCAGAAATTAACTTGACTTAAAAATATATATATATTTTAATCATTATTGGAAGATTTTTTTTTATTTGCAACTTCTGCTTTATTGCAGCTTTATTTTGAAAATCACAGAATGTAAAATAAACAACCTTAGAAATAATTTTTTTCTTCAACGTGAAAAACAAAAAACAGAAAATTCTGATAAATAATTAAATATTTTTTAAAAACAAAAATTTTTTCTCATCACAGGAAAAGCTAATGCTAGCAGGCTATGTCAACATTAGCTGTTAGCATCAAATCAGTCTAGGAACCATTTTAACCTTCCTTCAGGTTATTTAGTAAAAATCAGGTAAAATTTTTTCTATAACTTTTTTTGATGCAGGAATCTTTAGGTAAAAATGTCAAAATAATAAAATCTTTCACCTCTTCTACATTTTTATTTTCTTTGGCACTTGTCTCGAAAACCGGGACGCCCAGTGACTCCCCGAACTGCACGGCGTCCTGGGTGTCCACCTTCTTCTTGGCCGGATCGTCGTTCTTGTTCCCCACTGAGCAGAAACAAAAAACCAGTAAATAAAACCTGGTTCTGATTTTATCGACTCCACATTCAGAAGAAGTTCAGTCAGTTTGAACAATATGAGCGCGCATCAGGTTGTAGTATGTTACCTTTTCCTTCCTCAGAGCAGACAGAGTGTCTGCATGGTGCAACAGATTAAATAGTTATAGCTGCAACATTTGATCAGTTTAGTGAAAACTGTTTTGTCACATTACAACATAAACCTTCAACTTATTTTATGCTACAAACCAACAGAAAGTGCATTGCTACAAAACGGAAGAACTATTTTCTTTTTATAAATTGAAATCTGAAAAGTGTGGCATACATACTTTATAGAAACACCGTTTGAAGTAAGAGCTGAAAATCTTAGAAACAAAGTGCTATAAGAAAAACATCCAGCCATTTTTAGTGTCTGGAAATTGAGCCATTTAAAAATCCTCCTGACACCCAACATGTTTCTCCAGATGTTCAGGGTTTTGTTAGTAATTTCATTTCACACAAGAGTGTAAAATATAGAAAACTGTCTGGTTTTCCTTCAGCTTCACAGTAAAGTGCAACTTTATATTAAATCCATGGCCTCAAAGTTCTTCAATCTGCAGAAGACAAACGTTTCGGTGTGAAAACTCGCGCGGCGCAGCCGACCCACCCAGGATCTTGCAGACGTTGTCGCAGTTCTCAGAGATCTCGTTCAGCCAGCGCTTGACGTTGACGAAGGACTCCGGGTTGGTCACGTCGTAGACGATGATGACGCCGTGCGTGTTCCTGTAGTATCTGTCGGCACAAGGCGCAGGATCAGCGCTACAATCCGGCACGGAGAACAGAAAGCCAGCAGAGAGGCAGCGTTACGTGGAGGTGATGGTTCTGAACCGCTCCTGGCCCGCCGTGTCCCAGATCTGCAGCTTGACGCGCTCGCCCTCCATGTCCACCGTCCGGATCTTGAAGTCCACTCCAATGGTGGTGATGTAGCTGCCTGCAGGAAGTTAGAAAAGCGTGACTCATTTATTTCTATTGAGTCGTTTTTACTGTCAGTTTTTATCTCATGTTCAGATATTTAATCTTCTCTCCCAAATAAGGAAGAAAAAATGTTTTTACTAAAACAGGCTATTTGCTAAAATTAACTTTTTATTAGTTTGTTCAACATCAACAAATAAAAACTTGTATTTGATGCACATTTCAGGTTTTTTGTTACTCATAATTTAATCATAATAAAAATACTGGAGCAAAATATGTTGCTGAAGAGATTTTAAAAACATTTTTCTCATTCTGAAATGACTCAACAGATCAGAGTTCATGTTGTTTCAGAGGCCCCTGGGTTCAAAATGAACCAATAATTCAATTAAGAACAACAAATAAATATTTTATTAAATAAAAAAAATACAATTTAATTACCAAAACTGTTGTAAGCTTCCAATTTCAGAGTTTGTATGAATATTTGCTGCACCTCAAAAGGACAAAAATGGCTGAAAAATCTTTTCATTTTGCTCCTTTTTTTAAATTTTTGCTGTAAAGTTTTTATGCTGATCTTTGAAACGGATCAAATTTCACTAAATCTGACTGCATCAGTTACTGATTCCACAAAACATTTAAAATAAAACCAGTTTATAACCGTCGTTTTTCCAGCCTGCGGGTTGAGAAACAGAACCAGGACCATAAACGCCTCATTTCCAGTTTTTCTTCATAACTTCGCCCTGCAGACGTGTTGGAACGCCGCGCCGCGCTGCGCCGCCGCGCCTCAACCTGATAAAACAGCCAGAGAAACTCACCGGAGAAGGAGTTGTCTGCGAAGCGCAGCAGCAGGCTGCTCTTCCCAACATCTGCGGAGGAACAGATGGGAGAGGAGATTAGCAAGGCGGTCGAACAGATCTGAGGAACCAGCAGGCGAGGCGGCTTCCTCCCAGTAGAACCAGCAGGGAGAGACCAACTGAACCAGAAGCTACTGGAGACAAACTCAGCATGAACATGCCGATTTATTTTAGTAAACCACACTTTTACCTTCCACTCAACTTTCCAGTAACCCAGTGGCTCAACCAGCTTCAGAAACTGTCAAGAGTCGTCACTGGTTTCTTAGTAAAACCAGTCTGGCAGCGAACTGGTTACCTGACAGGTGAACATGAGCAAACCAGCAGCAGCTGCGTTTCAACCGACCAAACAACAAACTGGAAATACGAGTAGAAATCTGGAAACACGTCAATTAAAAAAAACTTTTTCAATAAAACAGTTTGAAGAGTTTTTGTACTGAAATTGTTTTATTTCATCAAACTGTAATAGAAACTATTTTTTTCTCATCATCACACGATCCACCGCCGGACGGAAACGACAGGAAGACGATGCGACGAGTTTTTAATGATCATCACCTAAACAAAGTTTAAGATTTGTGTTTATCATCTCATGGAATCAATCAGATTTTTACTTCTGACTAAATTACTAAAATAAATAACTGATGTTGTAATTTCCTGAGTCGCAGGTTTTGTTCAATCTCAGCAGTTAACCAGGAAATGCTGACAGTGAAACAGACAAACTCCAGGAATCTCCAGGATCCTGGAGAATCCTGGATAAAAGCCAGATCATTTTATTCATTAGTCTAACTTCACATGAAACTTATTTAACATTTCTTTCATTTTAATGTTATTGTGGTTTAAAGGCTTATTGACAAAAATTACTTTCCAGGTGGAAATATTTAAGATTCACCCAAAAACTGAAGTTAAGAAATAATGTTGGACTGAGATTTTTTTAAACTGTTATGATAAAAACACAATATGACCAGAATAAAGTCGTAAAGTTACTAGAAAAAGTTATTTTAATGAGAAAAGCTTCAGCAGGTCTGAGCAGCTCGTCTAATCATTTCAAGATTTATTTTCATATTTTACTTTTTTGTGTATTTGTCTTTGTTCTCCTAACATTACGGCTTATGATAATAATATTAGTTTGTCGAACTGTTACAACTTTCTTCTATTATAACATTTGTGTGTTATTACAACTTCATTGTTGTAAAACTTTCTCAAATTAAGACTTTTTTCTCATATTAATAACTACTGTTTATTATTTAAAGTTCATTGTTGTACATTTTATTCTCGTAATTCTTTATTTTTTTCCGTAAGTTGGCTCTAACTGTCATAAATTAGCCGGCTCTGTCCTGCAGGTAAGATACTGACTGCTCCTACTTACTTCACACAACCACAACATAATAATTATGTTTGTCTTGTTTTTATGAGCCAACATGATTAAAATGCTCCAGAAAACAAGGTGAATAAATTTTGCTCGTCCAGCAGAAATGCTCCTCTTCCTCCTCCTTGTGATGAAGGTCAGACCATAAAAATGATGTAATAATAATCTGTGGATCCTGCAGTTCAGGATGATGAACTCTTTTATGGGGAAATGAAAACATTATTGACCCGATTCTGAGATGAAGGAACCAGAACTGAACAGGTTTTAGTAAAACATACTAACTGGAGTCTCCAATGATGAGCAGCTTAAAGAGATGATTGTAGTCTTTTCCTGCCATCTGAATGGCTGTGAATCCACTTTCCCAGTAAAACCAGTTTCATATGAGGGGGTGACCTCTGACCCCCTCTGGAGCACATGCAGTTTGTGTTTACTTCAGCGGCTCCGGTCGGGAAGCATTTCCAAGTGAATCTGCTGCTGTAGTCGTCCAGACGCAGCGTGCGGCGTTTCTGCAGCGCCGCACCACTCAGCATGCAGGCCGCATGTCACAGCCGAACCCCGTCCCGCCGGAGCAGCGACCCACCACGGCTCTGGACCCACGGCTCTGGACCCACGGCTCTGGACCCACGGCTCTGGACCCACGGCTCTGGACCCACGGCTCTGGACCCACGGCTCTGGACCCACGGCTCTGGACCCACGGCTCTGGACCCACGGCTACTCCTTCACCGAGGCATTGTGCCGGTTCTGGTCCTAAATCAGCCGGAGCGAGGCGTTCCTGTTTCTGTTCCTTTGTTTCACTTCGCTTTCCCCAGCGGTCGGGTCAAGTCACAGATCTCACTTCTTCTTCTGCTTCAGGGTTTAAAGATGAGAGAATCTAAAACAGACAGGAGGAGAAATGTTAGATGAATGTGGTGACGGCTTCATTTTTACTGACTGAGCTGCAGGTGCAGCTTTCTGACTGATTACTGTGGGGGGGACTCCGCCCGGTGGGCGGGGCTAACAGCCCTGTGGGCGGGGCTAACAGCCCTGTGGGGGGGACTCCGCCCGGTGGGCGGGGCTGACCGCCCGGTGGGCGGGGCTAACAACCAAACCTCTCAGTGCAGAGCAGAAGAGGACAGTGGCAACTATTGGCCGATCATTAATCCCAAACGAAGGAAATCGGCGCCGATAGATGGACGCGCCCTGGACTTAGCCGCTCCTGAGTCACTACTCACTTCCTGCTCTCTGACTCAGCTGGATCCGGTGCTGGAGGAACCCAGCAGGGCGCCAAGCGGGCCTTCAGGCTCCTTTCACACGACATGGATTTGTAAATGAAGCAGCTTCTGGAGCAACCAGCGCTTCCTGTTTCCTGCTGGAGAACTGGCAACTCAGCTTTTCAATCCGCCGTTACGCAGGTCGCAACGTTTCACGATTAAATGATTTTTATTACACTTCTTGGGATACGAATATTATCCAAGATAAGAACTTATTCATTGAGAGTTGGGTTGGTAAAATGTAATTTTTTTTAGATTACTGATTTGCATGAGAATGGACATAAATTTCTATCTGCCAGAATAGCTGCTAACCAGGCTAACAGCGGCATCCTTTCCCCTGAAGCAAAGGAATAAAGGGAATGTTGACTGATTCCACATGCTAACGTTGCTAATGCTAATGCTAACATTGCTAATGCTACATCACTGACGATGCAGAGCAACTGAAAAGGGTCGATGAAACTCTGTTAAGTGAAACAGCATTATTTTCCGGCTCGAGTTAAGCTAACGCTATCTGGTTAAATACGAGTAACGCATCCAAATGGCCACAGATGGCGCTGTGAGCACCAAAATCCCACAATGCTCCGTTTTACTGCGGCACGAATCAACACAGAAAAATGTTCATCAGCTGCTCAGTCAGCTATTAAACAGTGAAACAACCGACCAAACCACTGCAAGTTGTATTTGATCACAACAGAAAATATGATGCAAAAAAAAAAAAAAGCAGCTTTAATAATATAAAAATCATTGCACAGTAAATATTCTTTACTGTCCCTCTGGGCGTACAGGCTCCCAGTCAGAGGATAACAGAAGCATAAAAACTCAAATGTATAAAAAAAATGCATAAATATTTTTTATTTATGTAGATATACATAAATAAAACCGAAGAACTCAGACAAAAGCTGATAAAATGTATGGTTACGTCTGGAAAGTATAACACAATCACAATGTCAGGCTCCAAATTTCAGCTCATAAAGTAAATATTTACATGAATATTTCTCCCATTTCAGGAGAAAAGTTGTCTGAGAGCAGAGGTTGGAGACTTATCAAACCAGGACACTATGGAAGGATTTAAAAGCGTCGTAGATCGCCCAGCTGTAATCATGCACAGTGGTGAATAACCCCTTAAATTAAAAAATAATCTTCTGGTAGCATTCAGATAGACACAACTTTGGCTCCACTTCTGACCAGCATCTTGAATATGATGTGGACTAGCATAAGCTCCCCCCAACATCCCTGCACTGGAGTCACATAAACTGTGAAAATCTCACTTTTCTCCACATAATTGGTGCACTTCTTACTAATTCAATTGTGAAAAAAAAAAGTTATTGATATGATAACTTCTGTCTCGCCTTTCAAAGTTCAACTATATGGTGCCAAAAAGCTACGAGCTTTTAGAACTCTCCCTCATTTAGAGAAAATGGTATCAACTGAAGGATGAAGCTAATTAAACCTGAAGAAGAGAATCTGTTTTGCTCTTTTCTTTCTGTGGTCTGGCTGTTGACTCCCTGCTCAAGCCATTTGTGCTCAGAGCATCGTTTTTCTGCGTCGCCTATGAGCGCACATGTATTCCCGGTGATCCGTAGAAAAGTTTCTGCTGTTAAAAAACTACCAAGGCAGATTTTGACGGTGCTGTGAGGCGCTGTCCTTTTATGGAGGGCTTTCCGGTTTGCAAGTCATGACTCAACAGGCTCCTTTTCCTTCAACACTTTGGAAAATAACAATGGAAATGTTGATTATGATTCTTTTTTTATTTACTTTCAAGAAGTTGTTTGGCTCTGGGGATTGTTGTTTTCCAAGTAAGTGTAGCCCAAACTTATAAAAAAATTAATACTTACTTTGAACAAGGTTCCATAATTTAATGTATTTCACATTTAAACATTAATTATTTGCATATTAAAACACTGTCATTCATTACAAGACCCTTAAAATGTTTTCAGTCCCTTAAAAGAAAAAAAAGTTTTTTTTCTTTTGAACATAAAAACGCAAAAATGATCATTTTCAGATTTCTGCATCGTTTTCTTTCCCTGACATTAAAACTAGTTCTGCATTTAACAACACGTCGACTTTTCTGGATGTGAAACTGATGTTTTGCTCCAACGGTCAAAAGTTTCAGCTCCGAACCGAACCGAACCGAACCGGTGGTGTTCGGTCTGGGAGCCCCAAACAGACAGCAGGACAGTCCGAGGAAACCAAATATCCATCTGGAGGAGTTTGCTGGGGAATCTGCAGGTTGGTTTTCCCAGCCTGGAATGACGGACTGGGCCCTGAACCGGGAATGTCAGCAAACTTCCAACGGCCCGGACAAACTCCGGAGCAGCTGCGGGGAAACGGAGCACTTACTTCGGTCATCTGGCGGCCTCGGCGCTCGGACGGCGGCTCATGGTTCCAGGCCCCGCGGCTCGCTAGCTTTAGCCTCGGTGGAAGTGCGCGGTCTCCGGGCCGAATGCCTCCCCACCGCGGCGGCCACACCTGACTGACTGACGGCGGCTGCTGATGGGCTGATGCTGCGTTCAGGAGCGTGGGAAAATCCACAGCTCCAACGTGTTTCCCCGGGAAAATCATTCAATACGTTGAAAATAGAAATTTATTCCAAAACATATTTCTGATCTTATTTTTTAATGTAAGATAATCTAATCTTAAATGCCAAAAAGTAAATAAACTTTTTTTAACGCAACTAAAGTACAATTCGGTGTCATGATGTATGGCAAGCTGTTAGTGACAAATATCTTTTCCATTCCGTCTGGAGAAAATGTTGTAAAAATGAGCTTGTCTAAATTGGGACACTGTAAAAGTCAGAGAAAATAAACATATTGTAAAGTGCTCGCGACTGTCAAACTCCCACTAATCTTTTTATTTCATACATTAATATCTATACTTATTAATGTATGATCTTTTCATATTTTTTGTTTATTATTTCCTTACCAGCAATTACATATTTTTCTGTTATTCATACAGTAAGCTGTGAGGGTCAAATATTGAAATACATCTGTGAAAAAAAACCCCTATAAAATATTACAGCTCAATCAGTCAGAATCCTATAAATATTGCTGAAAACCCCATCAGAAAGTCAGGGCAAAGCATTTCAACTCTTATTTTTTAGCAGTGAGAAGAACAACTCTTTTTCCTGTCATCAAACTCATCTTTTATATCAACAAATTATTTAACTGCTGGAAAAGTGTCGTTCACAGACTCAATAGATTTGACACTAACGGCTTGCCGTAGCATCCCATCAGTTGCGCTTCTGCACTGCGTGTGCAGCGTTTTATCTCTGCGATGCATTCAAGTCAACTCGTACTGGATTATCCGCATTAATATGACAAATCAAAGCCTTTTAACTTTTCCACATGGAAAATTATCACAAAATTTAAATGTGATCTGAATCTACACCGACAACAAAATAAGTGAAGCTAATTTTTATATATTTTTAAAACCTTTTCTGTATTGATAGTCACTGGTATGTCTTATATTTTATGGTGTGAACAAAACATTTTGAATCCATTTCCTTAAAATTTTGAGAAATATGTTTTTTACAAAATCATTTGCATGAATGATGAACATGGATTTGGTTCCGTAAACCTGGTTTAGTTGTTTTTTGGGAGCGAGATTCAAATGAAACCAGCAGAAACTTTTGGAGCAGATCTGATTGGAGCTTCGGCTGGTTTGGGATGACAGAAGCTGATGTGGACATCAGCTTCCTGGTTGCAACATCACAGGCCCATCCTGTCACTGTTAGCGTTAAGAAACATTAGTTTCCCAAAACCTCTGAATTTCTGCTTCTGCTCAGGTTTTAATCCTGTGTTGAATTTTGATCCAAATGTCAGTTTAAAGTCAGGAAATCGTATTTTTTGGAGCAGAGAATTTGCAGGTGGTTTTACAAGGCATTTCTTAGAGCACACAGACTGTGTTACATCCATGACATCGCTCCTTCTTCAAAAGATCACGTAACTTTAGAGGCTCTAAGAGTTTTGTTCTGTTGGGCAGAATGCTAAAGTTTGCACTCTTGCTCTACATGCAGGGGGTCCAAAGTGTGGCTCCGGGGCCTTTTGTGGTCTGTGGAGTGGCTTTGTGTGGCTCTTTAGTTTAGGAATGTTTTCCTCCATTACTGATGCAGATGGAGAGTTTTTGTGGATTTTCTTTGACTTTTTCAATGACAAATTTATGTTTTAGATATAAAATTTTTGGTACATAACAAATGTCTTTATTTTATTAGCTGTGATGTTTTGTCTTTTAAATTTTATTTCAGTGTCACATAAAGTAGGGCACAAATCTCCAGCAACTTTTAACATAAAAACAGACTGAGTCACACCCGATAATTACAACGTGTTAAATCCAATTACAGATTTTCAAACAGTTCTTATTTTTGCTGCAGCATAATTTCCATTTGCCTGATTTATCATTTTTGTCTTTCTATCAGAAGCTGGATGTCTGAAGTCTTTGGTTTGGTGTTTCGGTCTCAATTAGACCCTTTTTTGAAGGACAATTTTGTTTACAGAAACTTCATAATTCATTTGCCGTTTCAGTTTTAAGATGTCTTCCAGTTCCAGTGATAAATCTTAATTAGGATTTAAATTTGATTGATTTATGTTTTCTTGCATTAGTATCAGTTGGAATGATCTCAAAACAACAATATTGTTTATGGCAACAACTTCTGGAACAATTTATCATCCATCAAAGTTTATCATGACAGGCCAAGTTATGTAAATAAGTTAAATTGATTTTTTAAAAGTTCTCCTTCTTATAATACTGAGGTGGAATTTGAGATAAAAGTTGATAATCTGCATTGATCCAAGAGTTCAATTATTAAACTAGTAAAAATGCATAAAAGCCAAGAAAATTTCCACCCAAATAAAATTTACAATTACTTTTTATTAATACGATGAATCATTTTCAACAAAAGACATTACCCTAGTTTCAGTTTCTGCTCACATCGCATGGAATCGTTTACCTGTTACATAATAATAACCAAAATACCGACAGCTCATATCTACAGGAAGGACGACATTCAGCACAGGTACAGTTAAGTCGAGGCGGCTGCAGCCTGCAACGCTCCACTTTGAACCAAAAACAGATCACTGCAGAAGCAGTTCTCCAGAACGAGAGCTGGAGTCCAGGCTGGCAGGAGGAGGAAGTTTCTGACGATCGCTCATTTTCTACGCCTGCTGCTGGACGAGGATCTGGGCGACCGCCGGCCTGCGCTCCTACAGGGAAAGCAAACACTTTCATGAATGTCTCACCGAGGCCAGACAACACGACAGAATACAGATTTATTCATTTAGAACTGAACTAGGATTGGAAATCAGGAAGTTTCTTCTGCTGACCTGGGAGCGGGAGAGGAGCGAGCGGCTCGGATGTGTCTGGGAGGAGAATAACTGAGAGAACGGGAATCTCTGAGAGAGTCGGCCGGGACGCGGTCAGGCCGCGCAGGGCTGAGGGGGAAACAACAGCTGCATTAAACTCACACATTACTGCACTAACACACAGGAAACACAGGAGGCAGAGAGAACAGCACTTCTGCCTGAAAGGAAGAATAGGAAGGACAGAAGGAAGAACACAAAGGAAGGAAAGAGGGAAGGAAGGGAAAAAAGGGAAGTGGTAAGAAAGAAGGAAGGAAATAGACAAAGGAAGGAGAGGATGCATTCTCTCAGTTCAAACTTTAGTCCATCATAACTGAATAAACACAAACTGATTTATTCTGGATTCTGGGCTACTTAAATCACATCACTCCATTTCTCCTCCAGATGAGCTTCACCTGTTTTTTTTGGCTTCCCCTTCATCGCTGGATGAGGAAGAGGAGGACTGGGAGCTTCGTCCTTTCTCTGGCTTCCTGTTGAGAAGGAAACAGTTTGATGAGGAAACCAACGGATCCAAAACACCCGCCGGTTCCTCAGCTGCTCCTGCTCACCCTTTTTCCTGCTCCGCCTCCGAGTCAGAGCTGTCTGAAGACGAAGACGAGGATGACGAGGAGGAGGACGATGATGAAGACGAGGAGGACGAAGAGGAGCTGGAGCTGCTGCTCCTGCTGGCCTTCTCCTTCCCGTTCACAGCAGCGTCCTTCCTGGTCACCAGCGGCGACTGCTTCCCTTCGGGACCGGCTGTTGGCTGCCTGCCTTCTGATTGGCTGATGGCCGGCGACCTCCTGATGGCGTCATGAGGTCGGCGCACGTCGGACGGTGAGCTTCTCCGGCCCGGTGCCGCCGTGGCTCGGGGGGAGTCCCTGGGAGGAGCCTGAGCCGACGAAGAGCGACCCGCCGGCTTCCCGTCGTCTGTAAGCGGCCTCTCTCTCTCCGCCGGAGGCTTCACCTCCTTCCTGTCCGGCGGCGGAGAAGGAGACGAGGAAGAGGAGGAGCTGGAACTGGACGAGGAGGAGGAAGAGGACGACCTTTGGGGCGGGGAGGCGACCTTTGCAGGCGGTTTCTCCGGCTGCCGGCCCCTCTCTCGCTCCCTCTGCCTGCCTGCGGAGGGCGAGCGACTGGCCCGCCGCCGCTGCTGAGGAGACGGAGAGCGGCGGAACCTGGAGCCCAGAAACAGCAACGTTTCAACGTTTCAGGGCGTCGATAAAAAACCAAGCAGTTCATTTCTAAACTGTGTGACGGACAAACAGGCGGATTAGACTTCAGAGACTCTCCTACCCAGGAAGGAAACAGACACAAAATGTTAAATACTTTCATTGCCTTCATCAGTGCTGCACTCAGATTCAGTTATCTGAATGTCAATATGTGGATAGAATCTCTCCGGAGGGAATTTAATCCATTAATTTAGAAAAATTTAAATAATCCAATTATTATTGGATTATTTACATAACAATAATAGTATGTAAATAATATTATATAGCAGAAGTTCTGGGTTTGCTTCTGCTGATCAACTAATAGTAGAGCTGATCTTTTTTTTTTTAGTGATTTAGCGATTTTGCTGACGTTGACGTTTATGTGGTAACAATTCAATTCAAAAATACTTTATTGATCCCAAAAGGAAATTAATTGTTGATGTTTTATATTAAATGTCTGTGTTTTACACCAACATCTTATTTTTCAGATTTGGTTTAATAATTGAGCCAGATGAAGGTCGCTGTCGTGACAAGCGTACACCAGCAGGTGTCACTGTTGGCATTCCTGAAGAGGTTGGCTTGCAGAAGAGATTTCATCCCAAATTTCTCAAAACTGAGTTATCCTTCGACAAACACTTCCTACGGGTCAAACTTTGGTTGCATCCCCCAAATACATACTGGTGGTAGTGACCATAGTGACCGTGTATGCTAGAATCAGTTCTGTTGTTGCATTTCGTTCGAAATGTAACACTATGCATCACTGTTAGCCGTGCATTAGTGTTTACACTGAAATGCTGCTGGTGGAACGAACAACGCCTGAACATCTGAGTTCATGTAGTAAAATTGTTGCAATCTGAAGGTCAGTCACATTATTTTTCTTTGAGTGTTCATTCAGGAATATTATAGATGATAAGTGTCGTTTTTCTTAAATTTGGAGGTGAATGACTCTCTACCTTTTGGTAAACAT